CTCTCTCTCTCTCTCTCTCTCTCTCTCTTCCTTCTTTGAGAGAGCGACCTCGTTGCATCGTGGCGCGATTTAGTGGTGATTTCAGACAGCGTCGTATGATCGATGCCTCGACGAGCGCTAAGCGCCAACAATCAATTCTTAATTGTGATCGTTTGTGACGGTATGTGTCGTGGTGTTGATCCGTGGTGTGTGCAAATTTATTTGTGGTGATCCTTTGTGATTAAGTCTATGTTAATTATGACTGGTTATGATCAATTCTGTATTAATTGTGATCGATTGTGACTTGATCACATTCCGTCACAGTTAAGATTGACCTCGTCACAGATAATTATAATAAAGACAAACTTGATCACAGTTAATCACATATAACATATGTTAGTAACTTGGTTACACACAATCATAAATTAGACAATCTTGATTACAATCGATCACACTAAAGACAAATTTGATCACAATTAGTCAAAATAACATGTGCATGTTCACAAACAAAAAATTTGATCACAAATAACACAGTTAATCACAAATCTGGTTACATACAATGCACCACTACTGCCACCAAAAAATGCCAAAAACGTTGTTATTACCTTATCACCACTACCACAAAGATCAACTCCAATGCACTTTCATCACCACGGTGTACAATCATCGCCACCTCCAAATCTACTTCTTAAACACGGTTGCCACCTCACCACCACCACCATCTCCAGCAAAGCTATTTTGTGTTTGAAAATATCTATATAGAGAGAAGCTTTTGTAGAGAGAAAATGTTTTGAATTTCTAGAGATTTCTACAGTGAGGTGAGGTGTAAAGAGAGGATGTTTATATATATATATATATATATATATATATATATATCAATTGTATATATTTTAATATATATAGAGAGAAAAATATAATGGATATAGATATATTAGTTGTATATTATATATATATTATTATTAAATAGAATTATAACCTGATTTATGAAAGTATTTTGTAAGTTTGTTAGCTGTGAAATGTGATTCTTATAATGTAGTATTTATATATTATTCACAAAATATAAATAGGGTTATTGTTAAACAAAGATCTCCAATTTCCAAGTTCCCGCGCTCAGTTTCGACCAATCAACACCACAATCAACAACCAAATCTCAAACCAAATAACCCCCAAACCCGGTTGCACTACGGTTGTCCACAAAGGGCAAGGTGTGAAGAATATTGTAGCCTTAAAAGTCAGCCACAAAGGCTACAGCGGAAGGAGAAAATAGAGCATAGTAAAACACGAAGCAAAGGGGTGCAGAAAGTAGGGGTGGGCGTGGGTTGGGTTGGGTCGGTTTTTGCCCCAACCCAAACCCAACCCAACATAGTCGGGTTGCTCGAAATCCAACCCAACCCAACCCATGTAAATGTTGAAACCCAACCCAACCCAACCCAATTATGTGTCGGTCGGGTTGGGTCGGGTTGGTCGGGTTGTATCGATAATAAATCCAACCCAACCCATGTAAATGTTGAAACCCAACCCAACCCAACCCAATTATGTGTCGGTCGGGTTGGGTTGGGTTGGTCGGGTTGTATCGATAATTTTTATTAATAGAGGGATCTATGGACTATGTTGAAGCCTTGGACTATTTCAGCAACTCTTACTGCTTTTGAGATGATTGGTCGATGTGGAGTCACTGACTCACTGCCAATACAAGCAACAACTACAGCCTTAACTACCATGGCAAAAACTCATCTCAAAAGTAAGTGGCGTCAATTGGATAACCCCTTAATTTCATATTCTAGCCTTTGAGGCTATGTTGGAATAAGTTCTGACTTTACTCTGCACACGCAACCCCCGCTTCCAAATGAAGGGGTGAACTAAACATGGTGCTAGTAAGCACAACCAAGAATAAGCTGCAACTATTTTTTCAAAAAAAAAAAAGAATAAGCTGCAACTATGGCATGAGCTCATAAAGGGGCAACAATGGCACAAACAATTGAAGTACAAACATGAATAATTTATGAAATGAAACACGTCAAACAGCTCTTGAAGCTTAGCTCTAAACATCAATTTATTCATTTAATCAACAGATTAATTAAACAAGTCCACAATAAAAAAAAATTGAAAACTTACCTTGAAGATCTCCTCGAAGAGAGACGAAGAGAGAGGTCGGCGGAAGAAGAGAAAGGCCGGCGAAGGGAGACAAAGAGAGAGGTCGGCGACGGGAGAAGAAGAGAGAGGTCGGCGACGGTCTCTTGAGAGGAAATAGGTGCAGAGACTCATGAGAACGTAGAAGTCAGCCAAGAGGAGGAATGGGAAATGAATGTCCAACTTTAGGGTTTTCCTTTCTTTTAACGTGTTTTTTTTTTTTAATTGGTCGGTCGGGTTGGGTTGGGTCAGGTTGGGTGGGTCAACCCGCAACCCGACCCAACCCGACCCGCTCCGCCTTGCCAACCGACCGAACCGAGAAAAAATTTGAAAAAAACCGACCCAACCCGGTCGGGTTGGGTCGGGTCGGGCGGGTTCGGCGGGTTCGGTCGGTTTTTGCCCAGCCCTA